AAAGTGCCGAGTCACCGTGCAGCTTTCTTCTGCGGCCAAGAAACAGGTTGAAGCTAAAGTATTAAGCTGAAGATGTTTATGGCCATATATGGTATAAACACTTGAAGAGCTTGAGACTGAAATGAATCACAACAGGTTGTTGTGACGTTCTTCTTGACTACAGTAAAAATTATAACTAATCCTGCGCAGCTCAAGGCTCTGACGGGTTCAATAAACGGAAATGGTTTAATATTATAATCAAATAAAATCTTTAAAATGCCGCAGCCCCGCCGCAAGCTAATCTCAATATATTGTAAACAGTTTCCGGCTTTGCCCGGCTCACAGCGTCTGCTAACGGTTGTATTTGAGTATCTGGCAAAACGGAGGCTGGCCAAATATTGAGAAGAAAAAAATAGCGTTTCGAAAATTAATTTCCGCCTAGCTAGAATCGTATTTAAAAACAAGTTTATGTTTCATAGCAGAAGCTACAAATCCGAGCCATTGTCTAAAAAAAAACAAGAAAGAGGGGCTTGCTAGCACACGCCGAAGATGAAATACTCTTCTAGACATAACGCTAACGGTTTTGCAGAAATGTGAGAAGAATTTTGTAGCTTGTAGCTTGTAGATAATATCTTCATAAACAGAAACACTTTACCATACAACAACCTATTGCTCTACCAATTCTTTTTATAGCGTTATATGAGATAATAGTCCGACTTTGATTCAATTTAGCAGATTTGTAAGAAATATATCTAAACTAGTTAATAGATCTTGATTAATTGTATTCAAAAACAAAAAGGTTATCAACAAAGAACCGATTAATCCTGGCCGCATTGGCTTGTACCAGAAATACATTAGCTTTAAGCCTAAACTGGCAAAATATCAATGCCCTCGCTCTACAAGGGTATAAAAGATCTATAACTAGTTAATAGATCTTCATCAATTGTCTTCAAAAACAAAAAGTTTGCCTAACAAAAACCGATAATTCCTCGCTTATCCGGCCTCTTCCTAGACGGTTACATATTTAATGACAAAATTATAATACCTTGCCTCTACAAGGGTATAAAAGATGTACATATTTATACGTCTAACCATACATATATTTATGGACAAGACACACACACACACATGTCGTTGATATATGTATGATAAACGAAACTGTCGCAATTTGCAAATGGTTTTAGCACCGTCCCCGACCCCGACCCCGTCTGTGTGTCAGTTTTTTTATAATAACATCAACAATAATAATAACATCGACTAATGAAATCAGTTTCAGTTCTATTGCTGGCCTTTTCCAATACGGAAGCCTTTCAATAAAATTGATTTGGATCCGAGGCGTTAATTGAATGTCTGTTCGAAAGTCTTGGGCACAACCAACCCCTAGAAGTTTCGGCTAGAACAATAATGAAACATTGTCCATGCCCGATGACGATGTCATCATCATTGTATCATCATTGTATCTCAATGGCAGCACTACAAAAAAAAAAAACAAATGCTCAAGTACGGCGCCTGATAAACACGAAACAAGTTCAGGGCTTTAACAAAATGTTTGCGATTCTTATAACTGATATGGCTGTTGGCCATGTCCGAGAAACCAAGCACTCAGGTGTCTTGTATTACTTGGCCCAGATAGAGCTATAGAATCGCCGGACGTTCAATAAAAACCCAATCTAAATGAAATGAAACGAAATCTACGCGCATATATACTTAGTATAAATAAAACCTGATATGCCTCTTGGTAATAAGCTAGGCGCGTGGGCGTGTCCATTGTTTATAAGTCTTTAAATAGCAGCTAATGCACTTGGCCAACGGAACTTTTTCCAACGAACATCTGTTTTGTTACGTTCTTTTTTTTCCTTCTCTTTTTCAGTATATGGCATGATTCAGTCTCATGATCCATAATACTTTATTAGCTCTGAATACTTATCAAACTTTCGATTCCCGCATAAGTCCATATTTCTTTCGCACACTATCTACCCATCAGATAGTAGAAATTGCTTTGGTTGCCGCTTTTAAGACAGTAAAAAATCGCTATAGACGATAGCTAACTATACACATAGTTACATTTAATCTATCACACACAAGAGCAATTGGGTTGAGATAATAATAATAATGACAATAATAATAATAATAATAATAATAATAATAATAATAATAATAATAATAATAATAATAATAATAATAATGACAATAATAATAATAATAATACTAATAACAATAATAATAATAATAATAATAATAATAATAATAATAATTATAATAATAATAATAATAATAATTATTATAATAATTATATTAATTATATTAATAATAATAAATATATTAATAATAATAAGACAGTTGAGCTGGATCATGGTTCAAATCCTAGGCTAATGTATGGGTGTAGTATTGTCGTAACCCTTGGCCATATAAAAATTATAATAATAAGAAGAAGAAAGACGAGCTATCTAAGTGATGCAGTCCTTAATATAACTAAACCAGAACGATCCTGGTTCAAACCCTAGGCTAATGTATGGATTTAGTATTGTCCTATCCATTGGTCATGAAATATTAATAAGAAGATGAAGGTAGAGCAGTCTAAGTGATAAAGTTCTTTGATGCTGGTTTAAATCCTAGGCTAGTGTTTTGATGTAGTATTGCCCTATATAATAATAAGAAGAAAAAGAAAGTCGGGCTATCTAAGTTATGTAGTCCTTAGGGTAACTAAACCGAAAGGATCCTGGTTCCAATCCTGTTCTAGTTTATGCATGTTGTATTGCTCTACAGGCCATACCCTAGGCCAATTGATTGATTATTTTAGGTATATCTTCCGGTACTCTAACTATCCACATTATATGTGAATGCCTAAAACACAACTTGGGGTAGAAGGAAGCAAAGGGCCAAATACTATATCCCCATGCTCACATAAGGACTTCTTCAGGAACTGCTTCTCTTCATCACAGACTTTAAGCAACTCTTGCTACAGCCCCTTCTTTTAATGAGACTTCCTCAACATTATTATTATTATGATTAACTGTATACCATACTATTTCAAAACATAATAACAATCTAACTAATTATTAGAGTAGTGCTAAATAGATACTTATTTGCCGCCAACTAATTAGATATCAAGAGATGCAGTAAACAGTTCTATTAGATAGTTTCTAGAAAGCAAGCTCATTAGCAATGATATATATGTAATTACGCAATTTAGTTGCATTTTTAGCAAAGTTTTTGCTTAATAAGATAATAGCTTGGAAGTGCCGCCTGTGACACCCCATAAAGCTGAGTCAATACAGACAGGCAAATATGCATATGTAGATTTAGGGGAACTAAGGTTAAATGCATCTATATGAATATTTAAAAAAAATAAAGTAAATACTATTCGTATACAGGCACAAAGATTGCAAAGCATAGTATAGTTGTGTGATATAGCAGCTGAACTTTCAGTAGAGTTTCAACCTGTTTAATCTTTGCTAGTTTAAGTCGGTATATAGCTGCTCATTTGACATATATACCTGATTCTTATAGCAAATAATAGTTCTGTCTTGAATTTTTGACGAAATAAGGTTATATCTTAGATCAGCTTTAGCTCGTAAATCGGAGTGCTTTTTATATATTGGATTATTTAAAATCATGCAAATACAGCCCAGTTTAGTTAGTTTAGCATAGTTCGCATTGTACCCAACTTGTCAACGACTAAACTTTTAGCTGCTTCCGGTCTGTTTAAGCCACAGACGATCATGAGCAAAGATTAGGTTTTATATAAAATGCTTCACAATATATCAATTATAGCAAAGATTTAAACACGATCTGCTTTTATACCAAGAAAACTATGTAGAAAGAAGATTGAGAAAAGCATCCGAAATCGAATCGAATGCATATAATATATGATATCATTATCTATACTATATCATATAAAAATATATTCATATTGTTTAATAGATTAAAGACTTTTTAGTTTTAACTCTTATTTCGTCAGGCAATAATGGGATATCCATTAAATTCTCTTTCCTTTCTTCAAGCAATTATTTCAATATATTGTTTATCATTCTTCCATCCCCTCCACTCGTTTAAGATACTCTCTATTTTTGTTCCCTCAACTACACTCTTTCAAGATAGCCTCATTTTTTTGGGGGAATTTCCTCAATGAAATTTCCCAATTTAATAGAGCTGTTTATAAATGATATTAAAATAAGTGTGCCCATATTTGAGATCGTAAAAGACCGAAAGTGTTATAAAGCGGCATATGCTCATATTTGGGTTCATAAAAGAACGAATAGTGTTATAAAGCGGTAAAAATATTTAACGATTGTCGTCACAGGCAATGTTAACTGTACTGTACGTAATCTATACGAGGCTTTTACGATGGTCAATGCCACCGCGAAACTGGGAATTGGCCCAATTGGAATTTGCACCTGTACGGGCGATCGATCAATAATAACTGCTTCTTCTTTTTTAACGGTAAATTAAAAGAGTTGCGGGTTTTTATTTATTTTTTTGCACTTTTTGCTAAATAAATGTATTTATTTATTGTATAAATAATTCTCATTAATCGCAAGCAATTTGTGGCGCCCGCCCGCAGCTAAACATGCGAACTGTTCCAGCTGTGTGTGTGTGTGTGTGTGTGTGAGTAGATGTATGTGTGTGTATGTATGTACATATAACATGTTGTTGTTGTTGCTGGCGCACCGACAAATGACAATTAACGGAATTAATGATGTTTGTTGTTTCGAAATTATATTTCTTGTACTTGAACATTAAACATTTTTTGCATTTCGACAATGGTTTTGAATTGTTTTTCGTTTATTTTTTACACACTTAACTAAACAGCATAAGAGACTAAAGCTAAAATAAAGTATAACATATACATAAATCAGATGACAGACATATATACATATATATATATATTATAATGAAAGACAAATAGGATAACATTTTTGACTCGTTTTCTTTTTCTTTTCATTTCTTTTTATGTTTTCGTTTTTGCAGCGCGAACCTGGCATGGGGTCAGCTGCTGCTTGAGTATACAATACATCATCTTTTCTTCTTTCTGGGTGGGGCCTGGCCACACCCAATTTCTACAGTGTGCGAGTCTGTGTGTGTGTGTGTAGGTGTGTGTGCGGGCACAGCGTGTGTACTAAAGGAATGCTCTTCATTAACATTATCAACAACAATAACTGTATCATATCAAACGAGCTGACCCACACGCACACACACGCACACACACACATACACATTCAACATTTGTTCTGTTTTGTTGTTGTACCCGTCAACCCAAAATACAAATACAAATTGTTTTTTTGTTTTTTTTTTTTTTTGAAAAAGCTTATTCGCAATTTTGTATATATATATATATAAATGTAGTTATCTTCATTATCATTATTATCAGTTACGATCGATTTTATACAATCATCATATATATATTTACATATATATATATATGGTATATGTACTCATATGTCATAGCACCCCATACTTTTTTTTGTTTTTTATTTTTTTTTATGAAATTAAATCTCACTTAACAGAAAGGACCTCACACAAAAGAAAAGAAAACCGTTTTTCCTTATTATTAATCATTATTTTTTTCAAAGTTTTTTTTTTGTTGTTTTTCTTTTTGGTTTACATGATTAGAGCCCGCCCAGGTGTAAGAAGAAGAAGAGTAGAAGGTGAAGCTAAACACACATTCCGAGAGGGTAGAGGGGGGGGGGGTGTTGGCAACCGTTCCAATTATTTGGTTTAGACGGCTCCAATATCACTTTGGTATCTGGCGGTCAGATAGTTGGCCGCCTCTGTCATTTGTTCCAGGCACTGGTACAGACCGTTCAGGTGTCTTTTGCAGCGTTGCGCCAGCTCCGTGGCCTTGTCGCTGGTCGGTTGGCGGGCGGCATCGGCAATATCGCTGCCGTCGGTGCTTTGGGCATGGTCGCTCTTGTTGCCATCCGATTCCAGGCCCGAATCGATCTCGTTCGAGATATCCGATTCGGAATCGCTCAGATTGCTAACCGATGTGGTGGACATCATCGATGCCGTTGAGGTCCGTCTCACATGACCCTTGACCCGGCTGCTGCTGCTTGTGTTGGCCTCAGTCTTTGTCTCCGCCGCTTGGCTGAGCTGCTGCTGCTGCTGCTGGTGCAATTGCTGTTCCGACTCCAGTTCCGTGTCGTCATCATCCTGGTTGTTGGTCCACAGCAAATCCTTCTTCAGGGCATTCAGCACGGTGTACAAATTGAACAGCTCGGAGGCGCTGAGAAACTCTTGGACATTCTTTGAATGCGCCGCGCCACGTTTGCCCTGTGCGCTGGAACTCTTTGTCAGCTGATTGGCGGTCGTATCCTTGCCAGTTGCAGGTATTATATCAGTGCTATCACCGATCTAAGGACGGCGCGTAAAAAGAGAGAGAGAGAGAGAGAGAGAGGGAGAGAGGGGGAGAGCGAGCGACAAGCAGGCAGAGGCAGAGATTAGCTTCGTTTCGGGTTTCTCCTTTTTAATTGAACCCACCTGCCGATCCATGAGCCTGCATGGCACCAGTATGGTATCATCCATCGTGTTGACCGTTTTCACAAACTTCTCCATCAGATTGACGATGCTGTTTTTGGAGAACTGCTGCTCGTCGTGGCGCGCAATGCGACGCAGACAGTTCCTGAAAGAATAGCAAAAAATGGAAAAACGGAAATTGTCAAAACTTTAGTTGGAAATTAAAAAGAAGGGTTTAGTTCGGGTTGTCGAAGATTAAATGCCCTACCATGTAAATAGTTACAAGAACTTAATGTCCGACCTATTATGAAGGGGAAGGGGTTCGATGTTTTTAAGTATAATATATGCTAAACTACATTAGATCAAAAGCTTCTAAATGCCAAGTTTGGTAAGGTTAGTTCTTAAAACAGAAAAAAAGAAACGCTACAAAAACTCATTTTACGAACGATTATTCCAATGGGTTATCTAAGATAACTTACATACAAAGACACATTTTCCGACTGATTATTAAATATATATCTTATTATTATTAATCCTAAGATATCTTTAAAAGAATCTCCTGATATCTTATTATTATTAATCCTAAGATATCTTTAAAAGAAACTGGAAATATCCACTCTAGCTTGAAAACACAAACTTTTTTCAAATTTTCGCTCGATTGTTCCAATTGTAACTTTATGCTAAAATGTTCCGATGTCCTTAAGATATCTCAGACCATTATAAAAGCAAGAAGAAACTCCAAATACCAAATTTGGTTGGGATAGATAGCTTAAAAGACAAGAGTTTATCAGTTTTATGATATAGTAGTCCGAGGTTGACAAGATTTTAACTAATACATATAACTCGGAAACAAAGAAAGGTGATCCAAAATAGACAACTTTAATGTGTTGCCCAATACAAATAGAGGAAGTTAAGCCAAGTTAATCGAGAGATCTTCGGCAAATAAGAGACTAGAGAAACATTATCCACTCGAGCGTTGTTGCCGATCAAGAATATATATATAGATTTGATGGGCTTGGTAACGTCTTGTCGGGGCGAAAAAATCGTTGGCACCGAGTCTGGCTGGAAACCAGTCAACACGGGTCGGACACCGATTGGCCAATTGAGAGATAAATAAATAAAATATATAACCCGAAATGTGAGCTCGAAACGTGTCGTCGTTAAGTCTGGCCAGTTGTTCTTTTAACATTTCCGACATCGACATCATCTTCACGACAAGCACAAAATTGATTTCTAACTATGCAAATGAGCCCAGACAAAGTCGCCAAATTCGATTTGGGTATAAATAGAAGACCAAAAACAACAAAAAAAAACCTGCTGATTTCTATTTCTGAATAGCAGCTTGGCTCTGTGCTTCGCCCTCTTCCGCGCCGACTGCCTGTCTACTTGGTCTACGTTTCGCCACGTGTCTGCCTCAAGAAAGTTACACAAGCAGCCCATTAGCCTTAAGTACATTTACGTACCTTTTTGCCCCCCTTTTTGTTGAAGTAGACCTCCATTAACCCGCCTCGCTGACGCCGGCTAGTCTCACAGATCGCGCCGTTCGAAGTCCACAGCACTTATCGACGTCTGGAGCTGGAGTTCCGTCCGCTCAGCTGATAACTGATAACCGAATGAGGCAACTTTGTCTACGATAATGTCGTCTGGCAGACGCGTGATCGTCTGGCCGCCTTCATACATTTACTTGCCACAAGAGCAAGCACAATCCCGCCCCCGCCCACCCGGGTACTCGTCTAGACTATTGATAGCTGCTGAATGTAACAGCTTGTGGGAGAAACGGACACGCGAACGCCGCGTGCTCACCAAGCTATCCGACTATCTGACCGACTGACGGACGGACGGACGGACGGACGGACGGACGGACTGCCTCTGATATAGAGACGTGTGTCGTTGCTTGTGTCAAGGTTTTTTTCCGCTAGTTGCCTCTCTCCCTCGCCCGTATATATATATATATATATATATATATATATGCATGCCGAGAAACTTTCCCATCGCACAGAATGACTAATTGAGCTAATTGAATATGGAATAATTGAACAAGAAAAAACCTCATAAGAAAGCCAATTTGGAATGCACCAGCTGCAAAGCTAGCCTATACCTAGCTAATCCGTTTCTCAGGTAACTGGCATGTTTCTCAATGGATCGCTATCAAAGCCACAGACTAACTAAACAACAGCCTGTTTTAGGCATATACTAATTTCCAGCCAAGTAGCTCGGATTTCATTAAGCTTAACTTTCGAGCGTCGGATAATATTTCAAATATTAAAAACATTTCAGCTGGGTTTGCCCACATATCAAATTTGCCAATAATAAGAAGAAGACTCCATTTTGTAGGAATATATAGATTCGCTCGCAATTTATTCTTATTAGGGTATCAGCTGAGGTTGAGACCATAAATTGTAAGACGCGCAATTATCTTATCAATAAATAACGTCCGGTCGGCTCGCCTCATTCATACATAATTGCCTAGACAAATGAATGAAGCGGTTTATTTACATTATTTATAAAAAAAAAATCAGGTGTTGCCTATTTTAGCAAATGTCGCAGCAAAATAAAACAGGCATTAGTCAAGCTGTTGGCCACGCGCCAGTGTAAAAAACACGCTTAGAGGGGAGTGCCGGAGAGGGGGGGGGGTTGTATTAACGTTATTGACCTTTTGTGCTGCTCCCTCCCCCCCACTGCTCTCACCCCGCCTCCTGCTAAATCGAACAACAAGTGCAGCTGCGCCCAATTGTGCCGGCGGCAGAGGAAAAAGCAGCGACTGCGGCAGAGCTCGAAACACGCCATCCGAAACGACCAATTGCAGCGCAGCACGCCACGGCAAGCCCTATTATCTCAGCGCGCATCTGTGTTGAGGTGAATGTTTGGGGTAATTGTTGTCTCGGTTCTCTATTTATCGTATGGCCTATTAAGGCGGCCAAAACAAAGCTTAGCCGCTGCACACCTGGCGACACCTGCCCGTGTGAAGTGGGCCAAGCCAGGCGGGCACGCGACACGCGTCCAGTTTTCACAGCGGACATGCGCAGCAGCACCGCGGCATACAACACAGAAAACAGCCGATGTTTCAGCAGGCGCGCTGTGTATGTGTGTGTGTGTGTGTGTGTTGGCAATTGTGGCAAGAGAGCGTTTACGCTCTTAAGCTGCACTCTCTTTGAGAGCGTGAGAGAGAGGGAGGCAGCGACGCGAGCTGTAACTGTACGATTTGTTAGATAAAGAGACGCTAGTCATGCTGTTTGTTGTTGTCGGTATTTCGTTGTTGTTATTTTTTGTTTTGCCAGCAATATTTGCAAAGTTGGGCAACATTTTTTTTCTCTCCTCCTTTTTATTTTGAACCGAATTGACCAATATTTGTTTAATGTTGTTTTGCAGTGTGGCTGCCCCTGTTTGGCCTCGAATGACCTCCAATAATAATCGATATATGAGCAAATCGATATTAATTACATATCATTAGTTTAACACGCGACATTTGTGCCCAAACGCATGCAAATACAAATTCTATAAAAAAAAAAAACATGAGAAAGGGCCGCAACTTTGTCAAGGCAAAGTAATACAAAATTCAAAGTAACACACAAACGTCATCAAACTATTAATGGTATGTATGTACTTACATACATATTTATTTATATGCCTACGTCAATCAGTTAGGTTTAAGAGCGGCGACTGTGAATCACAACGTTTCTGATTGTTTTTTTTTTTTTTGCTTTATAGCCTACGGCGTCGTGTGGCTCATAATTTGTCTTTTCGCAAGGCAATGGAGATGAGTAATAGTTATTATCGATAAGTGACATGCAAGCGCCAAAAGCGCTGATTAGAGCAATTGCGATAAACAAAAAAAAAAAAACCAACTGAGCCGCGGCGGTGGAAAGTGGCATGTTCAGAGAGGTATGCAATTTTATTAGTTTAAACAAATACATCCACACAAATCGAGCCCAGGTTGAAAACACGCACACGCATACACACATATATATATACATACGTATATATATATTATGTGCGGCTATAGCACGATTGTGTCATATTAGGCAGCATTGCCTTTACTTTTTTTTTCTTTCGTGTTTGAATGGCCGTTCGCATCGTACGATAAAATTGTTGTATCTTGTGTTTTTTTTTTTGACGAAACGAAAGAGAAAATGCCGTGTGGACACGGGGTGCGGTGCTAGCGTGTGCAGCCAGAAAGAGTGAGAGAGAGAGAGAGAGAGAGCAGGCAAAATGATGTGAGCGAAATTGCCCCCGCCCGCCCGCCTGCTACAATTTAGCAACTGCTTTAAATTGGATTTAAACACATTTTAACTAGAAACTCGCGCTTGCCCAGCCCAAACCTGGACACACACACACACACACGCAGGCAGGCATACACATACATGTATGTATGTGTGTATGTAGGCATATTCCCCATCATCCGCTTTGCACAGATCTTGGCACTTACCGACTAGTCTCCAGCTTGGTGAGGTCTGTGTATCCACTCATTGTGCTGTATTTTAGTATCTGATGGTTGGTTTTTTGTTTTCTTATTAGTGTGTGTGGGTTGTGTCTTCTATTACCAAAAACGGTTTTGCGAACGTTTTTGGTAAATTTATGTTTTATTATAAATGCTGACACCGCAAGTTAATAAATTTTTTCTTTTGCTCTTTGTATCACATATACACGCTCACTTTCACTGTGTGTCTATCGCATTGAGTTTATACGGGTGTTCATGTGTGCGTGCGGGCCTTCAGCTGATTTTTCACGTAGTTGTATTTGTATTTGTGAATTCTTTGCGTGACGCTAACGTTGACCGGACTGCTGCTGCTCTAGGCAAATGCTTTGTTGCTATTACGAAATCTGCAGACTTTTGGTTACAGGTAGTTAGTTAATCGCTTAGCTGCTGCTGCTGCCGACACGTTTGCTTTTTATTGAACTCGAATGCGTTTTGCGTTGATTTGAAAATGTCGCTGCCGTTTTATGCCAAACAGAATGCCCTAGCATACACGATGTTTAGTTTATGACTCTTTCTGATTGGGGCTGCTGCCTGCTGCTCAATTCTATTAATTGCTTTATTTATATATCAGAATTCTAAACAATTTTAGCTCGTGCACCGCTGCTGCATTACGACTGACGACCGCTACGAACGAGTTTCGATTTTAAAATGATGTGAGCGGCGAATAGTGTGACCTCAATCGGTTGCCGCAAACATCTCAAATTCAAACCGATACAATATCGAGTAGCCTTTTCGATATATTAGTTTGCTGCAATCGATAGTCACAGCGTATCGTATATGATGTATCGTTCACACTTAAACGAAAAGCGCATTATTTTAAATTATTTTTCTGATTGGTTCTTGTATTTGGTATCAGGTTTTTTCTTGTTGTCAAGTTCAAAACCATTCAAGATTTTCACAATACGTTGAAATATGCTTGATGGCCTATTGGATAATTAAGACACCTGAATATTCTCGTTTGTACAAAATCATTTCGGCCAAACTAAAATGACAATTTTTATTTTCACTTGTAAAACAATTACTAATTAATGCCCACGTCTGGGAACGCTGTTGTTTAAGTCGACTTAATGACTCGCAGTGGCGGCAGCCTTCGCAGCGATCTCATCCTCCTTGGCGTGCAGGGCGATGAGCTCCTGTTTCTTGGTGGCAATACGCTCCTCACGTCGCTTGCGTGCCTCGCGCACCTTCTGTCGCCTGGCCTCGGCCTGGTCAGCCAGCATCTTGCTGCGCTGCTTCTCGGCCTTCTTCTTGTGAATGTACTCCATGAGGACACGCTTGTTCTTGAACACATTACCCTTGCACTTCATGTACAGATCGTGGTACAGATGGCGATCGATCTTCTTGCTGTCGCGATACTTCTTCAGCAAGCGGCGCAGCACACGCTGCCGTTGCATCCACACCAGCTTGGTGGGCATACGGGCGTTCGCTGTACCCTTGCGCTTACCGAAACCGCAATGGCGACCCTTGCGGCGCGCCTCGGTGTTCTTGCGGACACGGTAGCGGGAATGCACCACGACGGGCTTCTTGATGATCAGACCATCCTTGATCAGTTTGCGTATGTTCTGACCTGTGCCGGGGGAGAGGCGAGGCGAGATGAACAGAAACATTAGCAGCGCGCACTTGTGCAACACGAACTACAAATATTTATATACTTACGCGAGTTTGTGTTGGCGATTTCGTTTATTTCATTGGGATCCAACCAAACCTTTTTCTTGCCGCAACGCAGCACTGAGGCTGCGAGCCTCTTCTGGAGCTTTAGAGAACTGCAAAAAGAGACACCACATTAGAATACAGCGTGCCATGAGTTTTGTATGTTAATGTGTGTGCGTGCGTGCGCGTGTGTGTGTGCCCACGTTCAGGTTATTTCACAATTTTCACTGATTATTTGAACTGCACGCATTTTGTGCAGCATTTAACGTCCATCCCACACGCTAATCAGCACTTTTCACACATTTTCGCACACAAAACACAGAAATTCAGAAAATTCAACAGTACCTCATGCTGTCGACCCTTGCTCGTCGTGGCTGGGAAAGAAAGAAAAATTTGACAGACGGAAGTGACTGCCATTTTCGAGCAACTATAGCGACAAAATGCTCACTGCTATATATCTGAGTATGACCAGATAATAGGCAAACCATTAACAATTGGGGGCATAACAGCGTGTTAACAGCACACTTGCATAACAGCCGAATGCTATAACGAAATGTATTTGGTCAGCCCTGGTCAAACAGCTGATCATACAGTAAAAATAAAAACGCCAATCACAACCTTAATTGTTATTGAAAAAAAAAAAACAAAACTAGTTAATAATGCAACACACTTTAAGGCGCTGCCTAACCATGGCAACCATGGGCACAACACCAAGGATGCGCTGCTTTGCAACGCTGCCGCACGCTCCCGAACAGAACAAGAATCAGACCAGCCGCAATCAGTTGCCGCGTCTGATGGACTTCCCAGAAATTATCTGGCCATCGGCTTTAAATACAATTAAAAATTGGATAACCGTACAGTTTATAATACGTCCCTATTTCGATAGTGAATTTCAAATTAAGGATTTCATATTTGGCGCCAAGCAGGCGCTGCAGGTGCGACACAAATCCTCGCCTCGCATTGTCTGGCAAAAACTCAAAACTCTCTCTCTCTCTGTGTCTCTCTTTAATCAGGTGGTATCCGCACGGCTGGTGGGCGGCGATCTGAACAAGCTGCAGGATCTGGTCACGCCGGATGCCATTGCCGAACTGAAGCCCGTTGTCCAGAAACTGTCGATGACGCAGCGCAAGCAGCTGGAGATCAACGAGAGCGACATCTATTTGTCATTTCCCTACCAGATCGGTATCATGTTCGACGATGCCAATGACAAGCTGCAAAAGCGCTGGGTCGAGATCACAATGGTCTTCCATGTGATGCGCGGCCTGACCGAGATGCGCGAACGCGGCGAGGAGATACCCTGGAATATGGGGTGAGCACCAAAGTTGCCTATCCCTATATTTTCTCATTCATTTTGAACATCGTTCTCTTTAAGCACGCTGCCCGAGTATCAGGATCGGGTCTTCATATGTAATTATCGTTTTAAAAAGGAGTTCACCGCCGGACAACAATCCGACTGGACGATCAATGTGGCCAATCACTTCAGGGCCATTGATCTGATCAACGAATCCAAATAACAACAAGTCCAAAGTCGTACTCTATATAAACAGAAAAAAAAAGCCCCCAACCAATTATATCCATTCAATATGATACCCGCAGCAGTTTGCCTATACATTTTTGGATACATTTTGGAATAAAATTTGCGTTGCAAGTGTTTTAGGTATGAAAACAACAAACAATTTAATTTACTTTTTGTTTCAATATATTTTTTTTTTCATGTAGTTTAAATAACGAGTATGTTTGGCTGACGATACAACTTGTTTTTGTTTTTTTTTTTTATATGTTTTTGATAATTTAATGCTTAACGTGCTTCTCGTACTTGGACCTGTAGATGCCCCTCGAGTCGTACTTGTCCAGGAGCAGCTTCCACTCGCCTGGCTTGTTGACGCGCAGGAAATTGATCACCTTGTTGGAATTGCGACGCTGCACCTCGGTGCACTTGGAGCACTCCGATTCGAGGGCATCGGGCAGCAGTTTCTTCAGCTCGCGTCCCTCCGGGGTGCACGGCCCCTTATCCATCAGGCACTTGATATAGTTGTTCAATATGCGATTGTTGCCCAGCACCTCGTCCACGTTCACGTTGTCGAACTTGTTGGTGTACTTCTGCTCGGGTCTGGCGGCCGCCAAGCCGGCAAACACGCACACTATCAAAATGGCCAGCGATGCCTTCATCTTGTCTCGAGAGCTGTAAACAAACAGAACACAAAAAACACACATATATACATATATATATATATATATGAAAAAAGACCCCAAAAAAACGTGAGTAATTGCAAAACAAATACTAAATCTTGCTCAAATACGTTTTATGACTGTCTCGAAACTCCGACCAAAATAATGGAGCTCTAAATAATCTTTCTGTCTGATCTCAGGCGTCGCCTGGTCTGCGTTTGGCTTGACAACGCGTTTTATTTATATATTTTGTTTTTTTTTAATGTGTTTTTGTCTTGGAGATTCTCGATTGTTTGGCCACCTCATTTCTGGGCTAAGCTTTAATTCATGCATTATTAATGCCTCTTGGCATATATATGGCATATGCATACTAATTAATCGTTTAAGGTTTTAATAACGAAAGATTTCACAATTTCGGACCACGTCGTCGCTGTGCTTAGACCGGGCTAAGCTGCGTCTAAGCGCATATTCAAAACGGCTTCAAATCGCTTTTGGTTATTTTCCCTCTTTTTTTTTTATATAACTGCTTTTGTACCGTTGTTTGGTACAGACAAGTGTTGCCAATCTGTTTACGCAATACACAAGTATCGATACCAAATTTTACAGTTGCAAGCCGAGCGCACGCGCAGCCTGCGTTGCGCGCGCTCTCTCACGCGCTCAACAAGAGAGAGAGTTGTTATTGTTGTTTTCGGGCTCACCTGTTGCTTTTGCTGCGGCCGGATTTGGGGAATTCACGTTGTGTGTGTTGCGTACGACAGCACAGCTTTGATTGCCAAGCTGTTAGCCTGTTTAGCCCACTTTTATACTAAGGAGCTTTGCACGACTTGCACGCGTCGCGGCCAAAGCTCTCGCATACGCTCGACAGCGCGGGCGCCGCCTGGGCCGACCGAGTCAAAGGTCTCTCTCGCACACTGCAACAGCTTGGCTTGAAAACGACTAAAAAAAAAAACGCTGCCAAATTGAACCGGATTTTTAAGTTTTCACCCGAATTTTGAAGCTAGCGCAATTTGCCGTGTACTTGGGATGTACGCAAGCTTTTAATTTGTTTTTTTTTTTTCGTTTTTTCTTCTAGATTGTTTAAATGTAAATGCGGCCTCACCTTTAAGCGACGCCACCCCGCTAACCCCCGCAGTTGCCAATGCCTGTTTCCAGAGCTGTTTGCTTTGGTTTTTAGTGGTTCGCAAAATTCACAGGAAAAACATTCAACGTGAAAAATTCGAATCTCTTCTTGTTGTTGTTTTTTTTGTCGCTCTTATTTTACGAGCATGTTTTTTATATGTTGTAATCACTTTTATGCATTTCCCTCTTTTAATTTAAATTATCTGGCATCGCGTCTGTCTCTGTCTCTGTCTCTCTAGGCCCAACCAGATTTCGAAAGCTCAATTCGACTGGTCTCCATTTTTGCGCCAACTTGAACTGGGATTTACCCACCCACCTCCCCCTCTGCCCTTCCCACCACACCGACGCGTGGTCAGTTTTATTTATATTGTAGATTTTTCCACAAAATCAGAGCCTGATAATTGCCGCTACTTGAGGTCCACAATTATAAGCCGTAAAATATATGTGTATTTTTATAAAGATTTTATTTGTTGTTATTTATTTTTATTTGCCTTCGCACTTTAATGGCATTGACGTGAGCTTCTAGAACGAACAGCTCAATTGTCTACTCAACTGCAGTTCAATGGGTCAGTTCTGCTTAAATGTCTGTTCAACTCTTGGCCCTCGGGCTCTAATGAAAGCTAATGAATCACTGGACACTTGCTGTGATATAACTTTTATGTTAATTAGTGTATGATTATGCACACTTCAGCTGATTTATCATATCATCAACAAAATTAACAATCTTTTAGTTTTGTCTTGTTTGGATGCTTGTTGCAAAATTGTTGAAATTGGGACACATTTTTGCCGGCAGCCAAAAGTGCCGCAGGAAGATAATTTGTCTGTCTGCGGAAACCGGCAATTTCTGGCCAATTGCCCAATTCGAGTGTTTGTTTTGCTAACAAGTTTTTTAAGCCAAAAATTTAATATTTAACTTGACTTTCCGTTAAATCCAATTTAAAGTCTTTTATGTATATGGCAAAGTATATTTTAAATATGTTAAATTTCAGCTGATAAATTTTTAAAATGTATCCCTAGCCTTTTTACACTCTTGTGGAGGGTATTATACCCCTAATTATACCCTGAACCCATTAAAAATGGGTAAAAAGGGTAAAATGTATTTGTGCAAATGTATGTAACAGGCAGAAAGTATATATATTCTTGATCAGCATCAACAGCCGAGTCGATCTAGCCATGTCCGTCTGTCCGTCCGCCCGCCTGTCCGTCCGTCCGTATGTATGAACGCCAGGATCTCGGAACCTATAAGAGCTAGTCTTGAAATTTTAGCTGTAGGTCCTCCTAGTGCCCGCGCAGATCGTGTTTGTTTCCGATATTCGATAAATTGCCCCGTTTTCAAGTAATCGATAAAAATATCGATATCGAAATCCTGTTTTTTGAGCAATTTTGGTAAATAATATGAACTAGAGTCACCAAACTTGACATGTAGCTTCTAGAATATTATATATATATCAATTATTTTTCATTTTATACCTATCGCCTGTCGGAAGAAGAGGGTTCAGGGTATCCCTTTAGTCGGGAGCTCCCTACTAGAACCTCTTACTTGTATTGTCATGAAATATGTAACGCATAGGAGGAGCCATCTTCGTCTCCTTAATGTATATACATATATTTTCAATCAGCATCAAGAGCCGAGTTGATATAGCCAAATCCGTCAGTCTGTCTGTCTGTCCGTATATCTGTTTCTCTCCGAACTAGTCTCTCAGTTTAAAAGCTATCGTCTTCAAACGTTGCATAGGCCCCTCTTTCTAGAATATACTATGGACCACTATATCATTTTACAGTCATGGGTCGAAAAGTTGTTTCTTGTATGAACAACTTTTTTGTTTATCAAAATATCCTAGCCAAACTCGGCATTTATTTGATTCCCTATGTTACTCGTATATATGCAAAATCTTATCAATATCGCACCGCTATATTATATAGCTGCCATAGTTCGTTTGAGCTTATAAATATAATTTTGTTCCCATATGAAAATCTCTTTTGTTTTTCAAGATATCTAAACCAATTTTTACTATGCTTTCTGCATATATGTAAAATCCTATTAACATACCATATCATATAGCTGCCATAGGAACGATCGGTCATAATTTAAGTATGGGAAAATATTCTGTTTTCCAAGATATTTTCATCAAACTCAGCATTGACAAGCTTCAATTTTCTCACAAATCTGCTAAGGGCAAATGTCTACAATGTATTAAATCTTCGGCATGCCGAAGTTATTCATACCTATTCGTTTAAATTATTTTCTTACTTAAACTTTTTGCAAATTTAAATCTTTTTTTTTTAAGATTTCTGATGTGTATTTTGGTAACAAAATCTTATTTGTCATTTTAATATAAATTCGGTTAAAAAATCGTAGTCAACAAATTTAATCAAACTATTTTGCAAATTTAAACAATTTTATTTAAAAGATTTTTGTTTGTCATTTTCAAGCAAATTCGGCTTAAAAATCTCAGTCAAAAAATGTATTTTGCAAATTTAAAAGATATTTAAATCTAAATGGTAGAAAATTTATAAAAAAATATTCTTGTTTCTCATTTTCTTAAAAATTTGGATGGAAAATCTAAAGCCTTTAATGATTTTCTATCTTGAATAACAAAGTTTGATCATGAACCGAATGTCTAAATGGACTGTGTTTTTTCTTGATTTATTTTGGGGAAATATATATATATTTCTATATGTGTTGAAATTTTCCCAATGCTTTTTAACCAGTTCGGGAAAAAATTATTTTTTACATTTTTAAAAATTAAATCTGGAATTTATTTTTTTGCCGTTTATTCAGAAATATTTCTGCAAATATTCTGCTCACGTTTCCCAACACTCATAGTATATATATATATATGTGTATATATATGTGTGTGTGTGTGTGTACAGCTAGCTTAAGCGTTGCCCAATTGCCACACGGGTGTTACAATATTACAGTCAGAGCGGCATTTGGCTTATGCAAATGGAAAGTGCCAGAGAGCGAACGTCAACAGACGATCTCATGGCAAGAGAGAGCGAGAGAGGGAGAGTGAGGGAGAGCGAGAGGGAGAGGGAGAGGGAGAGATGTCGTTTTGGGAGGGGCATGCAAAAGGGTTGCTCGCCTTGAAATCAGACAGTGGCAGGGGCAACATGTGCAAAAGTTCAGGTTCAGAAAACAGAAAATAAACAAAACCGAAAACGAAAGAAAACGAGAAAAAAAAACACAGATAAACACGAAAAGAAAACAAAAACCTGATGAAGCACAACAGAAAAAAAAACAGAAACAGATAAAGGTAAAAATAAATCTGGGGACAGATCTTAAGTGTGGTACGTGCGCAGGTTTTCATTGCCAATATATATATATGTGTGTGTGTGTGAGTGTGAGTGTGTATGAGTGTGTGTGTGTGTGTGTGTGTATCTGTGTGTAATTGTGGACTAGGAATCAAACAAAGTGCCGCGACCTCAAGTCAAGTCAAGTCGCCGGCCCAAAGGCCCTGAGATTGTGTTGAGGGTTCGGGCTTAGGCTTCTCTTCCAATCAGCACACTCCCCCTCCCGCCACTCCCCCCCCTCCATCTGACAGTATGACAGATAAGGTGAAATGAGAGGCAAATTCGATGTGCAACCAAGCGTAATTACATTACATTATCATTATCATTATTATTGTTATTGCTATTGCTATTGCTATTGCTATTGCTATTGCTGATAAGCACAGCCGATGAGGTGATCCGTGTCTAAAGCTACGTACCTAAACCTAAAACGTATCTATAAGATACACACGTGCCGCTGACTATTTGACAGACTTGGGATCATGTTGCGGTTGCGGGTTCAATACGGTCTCCAGCTGCACATCGGGCCCGCCGCACAGCTTGCGATAGAGCTCGCCGTAGCTGCGACTCCGGCTGACGCGTCGCACCAGGCTGAGCAGGGACCAGAGGGCGAGGATTAGTTGCATGGCCATCAGCACGGGCTGCAGCCTGGGCAGCCAGATGACATTGAAGCGTAGCATCAGGAGCACATAGCCGGGCAGATGATCCATGTCCTAAAGCACACAAATTGTCAGAGGTGTCGCGGGGGGAAGGTCAGGGATTTGCAGCTACTTACGAATTCGTACCAGAAGACGGGCAGAATCATATTGCGCAGCTTTTGCAGCTTTGGGCTGAAATTTTTGAAACTCGGCAGCGGCGTATTGGACTGAAAGCGATACTTCTCATTGATGGGCACGCCCATGATGGGCTCCAGTAGCAGGTAGGGCTCATGCTCCTCGGCATTGGGATTGAGGCCCTCGAAATGCTGGCGCCAATCGTAGCTGCTGCCATAGAAATGCGGCATCGAGAAGGCCGAGGGTGCATCATCTGCAAGCGCAAAACTCAATGTGAATCCCGTCAAGGTGAACGTGGACGGATCGCACTTACTTATCACGCACTTGGACACGTCGAACATGCCGCGCGGCAGATGGACACCGTAGGTACTGTCCATGCAGGCGGGCGCCGACTCGTTGGCCTTGAGCAGGGCATAGCGATAGGCATTCAGGCCGTCGTGCACCTGATCCCGTTGATAGTGCAGCGGGAGGATGCGACACGACTCGCTGGCCACGATGCTGAGCGGCGTGTCCCGCTGCACGAAGGGCGGATAGAGGGAGTTGTCCAAGCTGCCAGCCACATTGATGGGACAGCTCTCGTCGGACTCCGACTGTCTGCGTTTCAGGCGCTCCTGGATCAGCTGCTCGCCGTTGAGGCTTTGTATGCGAAAGAAGTTCTCGATGCCCGGCTCGGGTCCAATATTTACCGTATACACCTCCTCCTTCTCCTTGAGTGCCTGTGCGAAATCGGGGGGGAAGAGCTTGTAGGGAGAATTTTTCAGAAGGAGTTGGGCTACTCACATTGAAGAGCGTGCCACAGTTGGTGTCCAGCTGTATCAGCTTGCCAATGGCCTCCAGCGAGGGTCGCGTGTACTCCCAGAGAAAATAATAGACACTGCCCGGCAGAAAAACGGGCTCGGCAATGGTTAACGGATTGAAGCCCATCCACGAGAAGGATAGCTCACTGTATTTGGCGGCGGCGCCAATCAGGACGCTATTGAACTGTATTATGGTCTGGTTGAGTATGTCCGGCGAGACGCTCTCCTCGGGCACGAACTCCACATGGCGATAGCGATGCTTGCGATAGGTAACACTTGACTCCGTCCGATTGAGCACATCGTTGTAGCCGACAATCTTGTAGACAATGGGACCCACCTGCTGCAGCTTGACCCGCGAGTCGCGTCCGCTCATAAACTCCTCCGCGTTTGTCACATTGAACACATAGCTCTTCAGCTTGCCAAACGGTGAATTCACCCAGCTGTCCATGGTGGGCATCTGTTCGCGGAAGCGCACCTGCTCCACGGTGATCGCATCCCGATAGCTAATGCTCCAGGAGATCAGAAACAAATATACATTCAATACACAGAAGATGGCAAGTGCCGCAATCTTCAACCAGAAGCAAATGTTGGCCATGATCAGAAACGGATCCGGAGCAGGAATCGGTTTTGTGCGTCCGCGTTGGCGAAATCACGCGATTCGTTTGATTTCAATAACTAATCGCTTTTTCGTATTTCCATGATTTTTAAATAACATTTTTTTTTTGTTGCTTTACAATATGACTTATCGCGAGGTCCCTTCCTCTTAGGCCTGTTTGAAATCGAAACGAAGCTACAAAAATATCAAGAAAATAAAACGAGCAAGTAAAAGTGATTCAGTTCTCGGTCGAACCAAGCTAGCATATACCCTAGCTTAGTAAGATGTTCCCACGGAACTCTGTTGTTTCTTGAGTTATCTACCAGAAATTTGTGGGAGAACTTGATGTTATAATGAAATATTTGTATACTGCATTTCAAGATGTTTTGCTAAAGAGTTCTTGAATCATTTTAAGCGATATTCGGCTTAAAGCTGAGCATATTTATTATTCAGAGCTGGGTTTTGTTATGTATTAGTGAGGCATATCAAATTGACTAGGCGTAGCTCCTATAGTTATAAGCTAAACAAATATCTAGATATTTTCTTATAGTTTCTGCAAGATATTTGTAGCGATTATTGAAGCTTTGGTTAAATCTCAGTCATATCAATTTAAATGTATATTTAATTTCAAGATATTTTGCTAAAGAATACTTGAACATTTTTAAGCGATATTCGACTTAAAGCTGGAAAATATCTATCAATCAAAGCTGAGGTATATCAAATTGTTTAGGCTTCAGCTTTATAAATATAAGACGTTTACATAGAAATTCAGTAATTTCTTTAAATCGATTACTGGCCCCGGACTTCAATTAAGTTAAGATAGCTTGATTTAAGATGTAAGGCATAGACAACATTTGCTAGCCTCAATTCTGGGGTACAATTAAAAGCGAAAGATGGGTTCCATTATGATTTAACCAAACCTAAGAGAAGTTACTTGCCACACTGAAAACTACTTTTCAACTCTTACACACATTAGCCCACTTTTGAGGCCCATTTGGGGCCTTTGTCTTTGTACAGGGTATTAAAATAACAGAAAGGCTCGCGGCTAAAGCTCAGGTCAAATTTGAGGCTGAGGTCTATTTTCATCTGGGAATTTAGTAAAACTCCATTAGCTTAGTCAAATCTACTTTCCAACTCTTAACACAAATAGGGCACACTTTATACAACCCATTTGTGGCGTTTGCCTTTGTACAGGGTATCAAAATAACAGAAAGACTATCAGCTAAGGCTGAGGTCAAATTTGAAGCTCATGCCAAATTTCAAGCTGAGGCATTCCAACTCTTAACACAAATAGGGCACACTTTATACAACCCATTTGTGGCGTTTGCCTTTGTACAGGGTATCAAAATAACAGAAAGGCTATCAGTGGAAGCTGAGGCCAAACACGCTCTGCTGGCGGCTAGCGGCTGTCGCAATGGTTGAAGATAACTCCTGACCCGAGCATAGAATTTACGCAAATCGTATTTAAATTTATGTTATTTAAGATTAACTTTTATGGGTCTGGGTCTCCCGCGTGGCAGCTGCAGCCAGTCAATGCACCTGGCCACCGATCAGGCCCCAAAAAAGTGCATTATTTTTAGCACTACTCCGCTGTCAATGCTCCACAATGCTCGACCAGATCAGGAGATCAGCAGATCAGCAGATTTTCAGCTCTGGACATGTGAATGCGTGTGAGGCTGGCCGGCTGCTTAGTGGGACGCGGTCTTATCAGGCACAGACAGCGGCGCTTATCAGCTCTCGGCTGGTGGACTGCACTTGCCCTCTCGAGTGTTCCGAGTCTGGCCCGACCACAGTGAACTGTTATTATGATGACATCTCGCCTTCGTCTAGGTGCGTCTGGACCGGCCAGAGATCCGGTCTGGCGTGTGAATTCGTTGCCAATCGTTGCAAATAGGTAAAGTCTTCACACTTCTTGGGTGCCAAAATATTGACCTGGCATTAAATTTGAATTTAAAACTAATAAAATTGCGCTATGAAAAATATGCGAATGTGATTAAGTAGGGCAACTGCGGACTAGCGTATACCCTGTGCTTAACTGTGTGGTGGAATTTTTTTAAGGAACGTGTGAAATTATTTTAAAATATGCTATTTATTTAAAGTTCTTGGACTGACCCATTCTTATCAGGATTTTTTTAATATTTTATAAATATTTATAAATGAGTTTTAAGGCTCAAAAGGTTTTTATTACTGTGCACAAAAATTATTCATTCCTCATTCTTCCTAGAAAAAATTTAACTTGACCTTAAAACAATATAGATTTTGATTAGTTAACTTCATACTTTTCTTAAGTTCATATCCTTCTTATCTTTTTCCATCTTAAAACAATAAAAAATTTTCACTGCGCATTAAACTTATTGTTCTTCCTACATAACATAAGACAAAAAAAAACTTCGTCTTAAAGCAATAACATTTTTTTACTGTCCATAAATTTACCATGATGCAAAGAAAATCCATATAAAAACAATATAATTTTTGTCAATTTCAAAGTTTTCTCAACTTCGTAGATTGAATGACAATTAATTAAGCTTAATTAAAAAGCACTAAGCTTAATTCAAGGTTAATATTTGTTTTTAGATTCAAACCCAAATCAGTTTTGATTTAAGAGCGCATTGAATTTGATTCGCTTTAATGTGTGCTCAGCATGAGATGGCAAAGTACTCTGATAAGTGACTTTCTATCTCTTGAGCAATTAAATATTCAGTGCATCCCGAGAAAACAGTTCTGGGATTGAGAGTAACGGGGAAGGATAAAGCGATTTGAGGATCGGTTTTCGATAGCCCAAAGTCGAGAAAATGTTGGCACATTTGGTTCCATTGTGATTAAGATATTCCTATATCAGATGTGGATATATATATATATATACACTTAATGTCCGTGCGGTTCATACCTTATAAAAGCTGAGGCAATAATTATTTAATAGACTAACCTCGTTTTTTGATAACCCAAAGGACGCTAAAATGAAAATATTGCAATCTAAGATATGGATATATTCTTTTTGTTAAATCTCCGTGTCGTTCATACCTTCTAAAAGCTGAGACAATAATAAATTAATAGACTACATCGAACTCTCTAACGATAAAGGATAAAGTCTCTTGGGGATAGTTTTTTGATAACCCAAAGAACGCTAAAAGAGAACCACATTCGGCTCCATCGATAGTCCGCTTGAAGGCCTTTCTGTTTGATTGAGATACTACTAGATCAGATTATGGGTATATATATATATATACCCGTATATGGATACATAATGATTGTATATGTCTGTGTCATACCTCGTGAAAATTAAGACAATAATAAATCAATAAACTAAATTGAACTTCATTACGATAACAGGAAATGAAAAATCTTTAGATAGTCCAAGAAAGGCCTTTTCTGTTTAAACGAGATACTACTAAAACAGATATGAAGATATATATAGAACAGATATGAAGATAGATATCTACTAGACTTAACTCCCTAGCGATATATTCAATTGATGCTATCTACCTCCTCCTACTCCTCAGTTGGGATAGTTTCTTGACAAAGTTTTAGATGCCAACAAAACAAAGTACTGAAAAGAAACTTAATTGTAAGCAATAAGCAATAAGCACTTGCCGCCATTTTATTGTTACCAAAATGAAATATAGAATTGCGATTATAAAGTAGCCATATTTAATGTGTAGAATAAAAGCAATTAATAATTGATTTTTGGCAAAGCCTAACCAACTCCCCCGAACATTAGGCAGCGCCCTAAAAGGTGGGCGGAACGACTCGAACCGGATCCCAATTGCAAATTCTGGCTATTTGTGGAAAAGTTTGGGTTCGGGTTTGTTTTTTTTAAGTGCCTAATTAAAATAATAGCGTAATTTATTGTACACATTAGAGTCATATACATTAGACAGATATATATTATAGATACGATATACGATATACATACACACATACACATATAGATATTATATTATATTAGATATATAATATTATTGATTCTGCTGTAGTTCGCTTTGAGACGCTTCGCAAAGAATTTTGGTCTAATCAAGCACATTTATATGAGGGACGGGAACTTGAGAGAATCGTTTTTTTTTATTTTTTTTTTTAATTTTTTCGCATTTGTTTTTGTGTTTTTTTTTTTTTTTTGTTTTATTCATTTGTGTTTTAGTTTTTGTGACTTATTTGGTCATGTGCCCTAATAATGCACAGGTTTAATTAGTTGGTTTTCTCCATTAATTTTTTTTTTCCTTCCTTTAGTGACATAGAATTTGGCCAGCAGCTCGGCTGGGTTTATGATAACAAAAATTTGAGACTTATAGCGACGATCACGACCGTAGACAGACTACTACCAGCTAATATACTTGAAATTTTAATAACGATTACAATAAGTACTTACAACGAGGACCTATCATGCATACAATATATGCATACATATATATATATATATATATAAGTACATACACATAAGTCTTCCCAGCTCCATTTGTTCTAGACTAAATTCGCATGCGCGAGCGCGTTCCCTGGTTAAAAAAAAAATCATATTCATCATCAATTTTTAACACTTAACGCGCGTTGACGGGGGGCCCCTTATAAAAATCAAACAAACGAACAAACAAACAAACGAAGAACAACAACGAGAGCAACACACTAATATCGCACACTGTTGGGATTGTTGTCCTTGTTCTGCTTCTTGTTCATGTCCACCTGGGCGGTGGCCAAATAGTTCGAACCCTCCAAGTGCAGCGTGCTCTGCCTGTGCGAATTGCGTATCAAACAGAATGTGGACAGCAGGAGCAGGATTACGCCCAGGACGCACAGCACCAGTATGAGAATCACACGGATTTTCGGCGGAATCGTTTCAGCGAAACGCATCAAATCCGTCACCTCATCCGGCAGCGAATCGATGCCCTCCTCAAACCACAAAATGGGGAATATGATGTCCGGAAAATTGGACACCTGTTTGATGTCGAACACCTGGCTGACAGCCAAATTGATCTGGATGCGAGCGCGCACGCTCAAAGTGGTGCCCATTTTCTAGAGGAGATTAGGGATTAGCTGGAAATGTTGTGGTATATGGTAAGGAGATGCTTACGGGTTGCACATCAAAGTAGAACTGATGCTGCTCCTTCTCCGGCGGGGAAATGCCGTCCACTTGGGTCCGCAGACTATCATCGGCCAAATAGAAATGCGGGAAGCTCAGCATGATGGGCGAGTCTACAAATACGAAGAAAAGGATTAGGAGCAGCCATTGATTAGCTAAGACAGCTAAATCATTTACCATATTGACACAGCGACACGTTGAAGAGGCCGTTGGGCGAGCAGGAGGGCTTGCCGGCCGGACAGTAGCACATGTTATCCGGATGGCTATCGACATCGGCGAACACCCACTCGGGTGGGGTGAAACGATAGCCGGGCACCTCGTTGGAGGTCATTACCTCCTTCTCAAAGACCAGCGGCAGCAAACGGCACAGATCCTTGTCGTATACCTCCAGCACGCGATCCTTTGTGATGTGCGGCGGAAAGATGGAGCCATCGGTGCCACTCAACCGATTACACTCATCCGTTGTCCAGTGCGGCAAATGTGTGCGTCCATTGAACTTGTCAATGATGCCATAATGATTGATATTGTCGGTGCCCGTGAAGACGGTGACGCGATCCGATGAGGTGCCATTCTTGCCGTACAGCAGGCCGAACTCCTCGTACGGCAGCTTTTGCTCCTTGGGCACCACATCCTTGGCCAGCTTGAGCAGCGGATCCTCATAGCCCCAGAGCAGCTGGCCCACAGAGACCTGCACAAACGGCTTGATCTTCAGTATGTCCATAATGCTGGCCATGGCCAGGCGCAGAAATCTGTCGAGCAAGGGTTAATTAAATATGGGCAAGTTTTAAATGGAGATCAATTGTGGCTCACCTGGCTGCATGCTTGCTCTGCGAGGTGGCGCTCAGCATGGGTATGTTGGGCACAATGACCACATCGTCTTCGGGGCCAGCGGACAGATCTTCGCGGAACTTGTAGATCTTGCGCAGATTGTAGCTCAGCGTGCCATTGTCATGCTCCACAATGTTCACCTTTTCCCACGTCTCGCTGCAGGTGGCGGTAATTACATTTCAGTTGGGATTGGAAGAAAGGAATTGATAGGGGTCTGACTCACCTGTAGACATAGGGTCCCACCTCGTCGACAATGGCCCTGGAGCCGTTGCTCAGAAAATCATCGGCGTTTGTCACATTGTAAACGTACAAACTGATGCGCGGCTCGACGGGCGGCTTGGCCCACCAGCCAAAGGTCTTGGAGCCGGGTCGCAGCGCGATCATGCGATCAACGATCGCATTGATCAGCACCGAAAATTGGCATGCAACCAGAACGCCGGCAATTATCAAAACTGCCCCAATACCAATTGTAATCCCTGAAAGTTCAACAACAACAACAAATTCCATTTTAAAAGCGAGTCTCAACAATCCGCAGCTGAGTCATCTGCAAAAATCAGTCAGGAATTATGCAGCCAATGCACGTACTGAGCCCCAGTCAATGGCTGTGAAATGATATGAGATCAAATCTTACAGATGCGTTTCTCACAGCTGAATCACTAAGAAATACTCTAGCAATAAATCATAGAGCATCAAAAGGGCGGGGTTGTCAAGGCCAAGCCACAGCTTGGCTTGTTCCAAGTCTGGACTTTACAACTCTTAAGCGATTTTTCTCTAATGAATCACAATCTGCCTAATGCATTATTATAAACTAACTAATTAACTAATCAAACTGAAGTTTATCTCGTTTTAAGCTGCCGCTTTGCTAATTCTTACAAAACTAGCCAATTAGTCTAGACCAAACTTAAGTTTGTCTTGTTTTAAGCTGCCGCTTTGCTAACTTTTCTGATTCAGAAACAATTTTCATTAGCTTACAGATGTTATCGAAGATTTCTATTTATAGTCTAAAAGCTGAATCATTCTATTACACAGAATATGAAGCTTATATCTGAGAATTAGTCAATTTCAAATTTAAATAGGGCTTATCGAATTTTGAAACAGTTGAGTTAGCTAATTGGTTAAGGAAAGGGTTAAAACATTTTTTGAGTTTCTTTTGAATAGCAATCCAATTAACAATATCTTTTAATTGATCTTGCAGATATGTAGATATATATATACGGATTTAAGTCCAATAGATTATAGTCCAAATGTCTGTTAAGAATTTGTATATATACTTCATACTAAGATAGTTCAAACTTCTGTAGATTCTGAAGTCTTTGCCGACATATTCGATAAGTTTAAAGATGATAACTTCTTTAATTTTTTTCCTATGTTATATATTCGATAAGTTTGAAGATGAGAACTTCTTTAGTTTTCTTTGCCGACATATTTGATAAGATTGTAGATAAGTTTCTAGGAAAGTTTTGTTATCTTAGTCGAAAGCACGCGCTTTCTGAGATTGATTGAACATGAGTCTAGTTTATCTGCCTTAACTTATCTAAACGTTGATTCCGTGATTCTTCTTAATACATTTGTTAATGTCTTCGAGCTCATCTTAGCTTCTCATCTGGCGTGTAGCTTGATCTTTCAACCTTAAGCTGCTGTTCTCTTAATTAATTCAACTTATACAATCGAATTAAATTCCACCATAACACGGCCTGCAATTAGCTATTAATCATCTGATTGAATAATTACATAAATTAAAGATTGTTTTTTTTTTTTTGTGTTTGCCACAATAGTTGGCTAGTTTTTCCTGAAAGTCGACTTATCAAAATGCATTTATTAACTTAACTTAACTCAAATACCAGTTCTGTTGCCACATAACACTTAAGGCCCCAGTTGTTAGTCCAGCTCTCGATATTAATTGTATTTACCCAACATCCTTGTCATTGCAACTCTAGACTTGCGTATTCGAATCGAATTACATATTTACGAAATTTCAGAACGCAATAGCTTTTCGAATGAATCATCAAGAATGTGTGAAAACAAAAATTGATGCCAGGTAAACATCGATATAGCTGACTGGCAGAATAACTGTCTAGCTTGGTGTAAAAGACCTTCACGGAGCGTCCCCAATGTCAAGAAAGCGCCGAACAAAACCCATCTTCAAAGTGTACAAGGTATGCAAATACCTGTATATATATGTTTATATATGTTTATATAAATAAGTGTGTATCTCCCATGGAATCAATTAGAATTCGAAATTGAAATACCAGTATAACCAGTCATAGGAAACCACAAATCCATCGGCATGTGTTCCATTAGATTGTGTCTAGCTATTCACTTGGTAATAATTGAATTTGATTTCAATACAATACGGAACTAATCTGGGCACTTATATAAATAATACCCCTATTAACTAACTTTCCGGAATGTAACTAAACGTTAGCTAATGCGAAGATACGTATTCTTTGACTACAATTTCTTTCGCCTTAATCTTTATTTAAAGTGCAACTTTAGACATCTGGCAACTCCCAATTATATCACTAGCTTGTTAAGTTGGCTGCGGCAGCTTTGCTTAGGCTCTGCATATTGATTGATTGTTACGTTCGAGCCATAAAACCCACATTAACATTTAAGTTTAATCACGAAATTAATACACAAGTTCTACGATTAGTTTTATTTTAATTGCAATCGTTTTGCTATGACGGCTTTTATAAGACTGTGACTGATTGAATTGCATTTCAATTCAATACGGAAACTGCACTCTTTTATAATTAAACTGCATAGAGTAAACACATTCAGGAACGTAACTCAGCATTGGCTGATAATACAAAGGGAGGGATTCCAAGATTTGTTTAAGCTATTGAAATAGCAAGCCATCTGGCAGCACCTAAAAGTTTCTACAGCTTATTGATTCTTTGTAAAAATGTTTTGTTAGACTGTGATTAACTGTTGACAATTGATTTTTAATCAAATACAATACAGAATTCATCTGGGTTTTAATCGGAATGGAATTTAGGAATGTTACTCAACGTTAAACAATTACATGAGCAAGAAAATGCTTTCTGAAAAATTTTGAATGTAGCTAATTCAGCTGGCAAGACCAATAAACTGTATAACTTTTATCTAAATTAAAATACGTTTTGCTTGTCCAAGCTATTGAACGATGAATAATGGAATTTAAATTAACGTTAAAATTTATGCTGTTTTGAGAAATCGTTTTCCTTGCCCTCTAATAAATTATAACCTTAGCCATCTGGCAACGCCGCACATTGCGAGGCTATTAAGTTGGCTGCGCTCAAACCAGTTTAATGTGCAATTCAACATAACCTTGAAATTTGCTTATAAAATTGACTAAATTAAATTTGTTTTCGAATCTACTTACACCATTTGCGCAGATATGTGCTGGATAGTTTGGTGCAGAGTTTGTGTTTGGGTCCGTTCATGTTGTTGTCAAATGTGATGCGCCTTCTGGTTCTGAACTAAAAAAGCAGAAATTATAAAAAAAAAAAGAAAAGATAGCACAACGATTAAAAAAATCTCGTTTTCATAAAATACGAATGAATCGTAAACTCGGCTGGTTTATGAAAGTCAAGTCTAGGAATGCATGAGATGTTGATTGCCGGGCAAAGTTTGAGAACTTTGACGATGATGATGTCGATGATGATGATGATGATGATTATTGTTATTATTGTTGTTATTGTTGTATAGATGTCTTAGGTTCTATATGCACAAGTCTAAAGTGTAGCGCAGTCAAGTTTAACTTGTTCAGAGAGGGCCACGCTCTGAACCTCAAACTCAGACACGTTTCTGGGCCTGAGCTGGCCTTGTGCTTTGTGTGTTGTGTATTGTTTATGTATATTGTTTTATATTTTCTTCAGTTTTGTCATTAAGTCCATTTATCAGACGACATTTTTGTTGGTTTTAAGAACCTTGTCAGTCAGCAATAATCTTTGGCTCTTGCCTAAAGTGCCTGCCATAAGCATTGTTTTCTATAGTTTTCTAGAGCTATTTCAACAATTGTTGTAAACGTTTACAAATGAGTTGTTCGAGCTAAACGCTTTGTTGTTGTCGACAATGGGCCTGAGACATGACTCGGGGCGGGGGCACATGGATAGAGTCCACATGGAAGCCGCCGCTTAACCTCCGACTTTGACTCCGACTCCAACTTCCAGCCACATCGGTGGGGCAATTAAAAAAAATGCTGTTGCCGTAACGTTGAGCGTCTTAATAGCCAGGCTCGAGATACATGAGCGTATACGCATACGCATATATTAAAAAAAATTGTTAAAAAATATAAAAAAAAAGCTTAATTTTAATTTTGGCAAACACCTTGACCGAGGCCAGGGCCTTATTGTTGTTGTTGCTGTTGTTGTTGTGCCATAATTTCTATAAAGCATTGCCTGTTTGCTTTTAAAATGCTTTATTATTGACAATTGCAGGCACAGGCATATCATAAAACATTCAAAAAAATTGACTTTGATGAATACATTTATTAGCCCGGCCATTTGCAAGCGCCGCACGAAACAATAGAAAAGTCAACAACGAAAATTGTTAATTGCCAGTGCGTCAATTTGCCAATTTATCTAGTTGTTAACAATCAAGATATTTTTCACTCAGCGGAATGCAGTTAAATGTTCTTACAGCCACGTCAAGGTGGCGTCTCTGGGCCCAACGCTTATCACAAACCAACTCGAGGCACACACAACATATTGCATCTCTGGGATACATGTTCAAATGTATCTGCAGCTTGTTTGCGGCCAACTCTGCTTGGCAATTGTACAATTGGCTTTTAGACACGTTTCAGTTACGCTTTGGGAAAACGCATATCTGCGTGTCGGGCTGGTTTCTGTTTATTTGCGGTTAAACAGCACTTGACCATGTCACGGAAATGCTCGCCTACCAAGCCACAACTTTGTGTTTTCTTTTATCTGCACTTTTTGTTATTGCATGACATACCCTATAGTTATGCTTTGAATGAAAATCAGACTGTCGATATTTATTTGTGCTGTACTTTAAAAATTTCTTACAGGGTATCTATAAGTTGGCACAGCATATCTTTCAGACAGCCAATCATATAGTAAAATAGCTGAAGAATGCCAAATTAGGCACAGGGTAAATTAAATCTTGTTTAAGCCAGATAAGCTTATTGCAGGGTATCTATAGTCTAGTATACTGCAAGTATCAGAACTAAAGACAGCACAAGTGGTGCGAAATATCCTAAAATGTGCAGTAAATGCTGAAGAAGTAAGTCCACAAAGATTAATACAGGGTATATTTTAGTCAAGCAAACAGTATTTTACAACTGTAACAAGTCAGTTGCCAGTAGACACAATGCTCAGAAATCTAAAACAGTTGTAGTTAAGAAAATTTGTTACAGGGTATCTGTTACTTTTGGGAAGGGTAACTAATCGTGTGGTATGCAGCTGTAGAATGTAGAATAAGTATAGAGACGAGTGCAACAACATTTGATATAGCGCTTCTGGCAGTCTGTTAGACAGTAAATATGAGAGCTGCAGGGTATCTGAGAGGGTAGTATTTAAGAGAATTTAAGAGCGCAATTCTTTTTTAGTCTAATCAAGTGCTTAATTAGTACCGGAGCTACAGAAAACAAAAGTGGGTTTAGGGCATCTTAAAGTTTAGTACAGGGTATCTAACAGTGTGGAATACAGATTATGTCACAATAGGAAACGGAGCCACACTTAGCAAGAGTGGGCCTAGGGTTTCTTAAAGTCTTACACAGGGTATCTAAAAGTGTTTAATACAATTAATGTCACACTATTAAAGTCTAGTACTTAGCTAATACCAGATTGTCTTTTTTACAGGGTATCTTTTACTTCCTCTAACTGGAGTCTACTTCTTAGTAAATATAAGAGCTGCAGCTAGCAATAGTTTTTATAGGGTATCTTTAACTTCAATAAGCTCGATATCAACTGTTTTTTTAAGGTTGTACTTTGAGCCATAGACAGACACACACACACACAAACATTCACACACACACACACACACACACACACAGCCGCACACACACCTGAGTACGCTCGCGTATTTCACAGAGTTTTGTGCGCTCTGAAGGTCGCCCCCGCTGTTAGATACAAAATAAAAAAAAATCACAGCTCAGATACAAATACACGCGCATCCACAGTTATTGACGCCAGAAAGCCAAAAACTTGGGCCACGTCCAGCTCCACCTGTGCGCACATTGGCAGTCGTCGTTATGCGTATTGAATAGTAATTAACTAATAATTATTATTTTGTGCGCTTTTTGGTTGACAGTCGGCTCATAATCATTTGCGGGGCCCCAAACATTGAGCCAGCCCATAAATCAGCCAACAAATTGCTTTGGCCAATGAATTTTAAAATGCTTTTGGCCACAGTTGTTTTTTTGTCCCCCTTGTTTTTTTTTCAAAGCTGGCTTATGCGAGTTTATCGAATGCCAATTCGAGCTGCATATCATATGATTTACAATCTATAGAAATTGTGTTTTGTTAGCCGCATTGATTAGAAATTGCAAAAAGACGATTGTCGAAGCCAGGTGATATTCTGTGGAATGGCCTGCAATGTTTATACAGAAATAACAGAGCATTATGAAAGTTTATATATGTATATACAGGTGTATATATAAAGCAATAGCTGCAGTTGTTGCTAGGCCCTGACTCGCTGCGATAACAGCTGTTTCTTATCAGAAAAAGAATTTCAAATAACGATAAAGCTTGCACATGCTGCAGCTCTTAAAACTAGACTCCCGAGCGCATGCAGTCATAGCAGCCAGCCTGTGTCTGTCACAGCCTTTATCTATGTACAAAGCTGTTTGTTCTGACTGATTAGACTGTAGCTCCTGCTGTGGAACTGGCAAATTCACCAAACTCCAATTGGAAATGGGTGGAAAAGGGTAATATGCAAATTAAATATTAAAAGGAGAGAAGAGCTAGGTTAAAGCTGATGGAGTTGAGGCACGAACATTTCGCTTAATCGGAAAATGCTTGAAAAAGTGATCTATTAAACTTAGTCTAAGCCATATTCTGTTAATTTCCGCTAATTTTTAATAGAAAGCCAGAACTAGCGCACTTTTGTTTGTTTTAGCGCAGCGCCTTAAGCTAGGCAATAAATGTTGATTTAGAAATTCTGCTCGGTCCCAACTTTCTTAAGTCGCTTTGCGCTAAGCTAAGCAAATGTTCATTAGCAACTGATGTAATCAGTTTAGCATTTAAGCATAATTATTGCTCTTGTTTTTGTATTTCTATTTCTAGTGGATTCTAGTAATTGTATCGGCTGCTGCTGCTACTGCTGCTGCTGGTGGTTTTTTAATTAACAACTGTTGGGCGTTTAGCGTGAAATCGCTTTTTTGCACTTAACCAGAACCCAACTTCAATAGAAAACTTACTTTCTAAATGAAGTGCTGAGTGGCTAACTAGCTGCACTCGCTGCGAGAATCGAGCTGAAAGTCGAGAGTCGAGAGTCGGGAGCGACTTTTGCTGCAGTCAATGCCAGCAGCAAAGATGCCGCATAATTTCACTGCGTTTAAAATGTTGCTTGCACAAAACACAACAACAACAACAACAGTAGCAGCAGTAGCAGCAGCAGCAGCAGCAGTAGCTGCTACTTAGTGTAAACAATTACCCTGACCCAATTTTGGAGGCAAATTTGTTGTTGCTGCTGCCGCCGCTGACACTGGCCGGGCCAAAAAGTGAGCGACGAGCTGTTGACAATTTTTGTTTTATTTAAAGTTGGTTTTTTTTTTTGGGGTTTTTCGTTTTTTTAATTTTGCTGTTGCTATTGTTTTTGTTGCATTTGATAATAGCTACAATAAAGTGATTTAAAATTGTCTTTTTTTTGGTTATTTTTTTTTTTTAGTTAAGTTAAGTTAGACAATGGCGTGTCTCAGTGACAACTCCAGTTCCATCTTGGCAGTAGGTCAGTTTTTCTGCTTGTTGCCGCAACATGTTATTTAAGTTTAACTGTTAACGACAAAGAGCGCGACAATTGTCGCACCGCACGCAATTTTTACAAAATGAATCATTTTAACGGTGCCCCGCAAGCTCTGCCATAAGGGCTTTTACTTTGCCGGATAAGCATGCGCGCACGCTCTCTCCCCTCCTCTCTCCCTCTCTTTCGCTCTTCCGCTCTCTTTCTGATTAAACGGATATTTGGGAGCTTGGCATTGGTTATGTGGTCAGCGCTTTTTGGTCAGCTCGTGTATTTATTTATTTATTTATTTAAAGCGAATGTTGTGCGCGCTTCACTTTGATTTTGATGTTTAGCTTTTATTTCGTTTTCGAGTGGCTGCTGCTGCTGCTGCTGCTGCTGCTTCTTCTTCGTGTGGCGTCAACAGCGAAATTTCACTTTTTCCACATAAGTAATCATAAAAACTATGCACGTACAAATACAGCTAAACGTCAAATGCATGTGGGCCTGTGTGTGTGTGTGTGCGTGTGTGTGTGTGTGTTTGACTGTAGATACACATGTATCTTAATGATTTTCCGCTTTGGCAGCGACGCTCTTAAAGTCAATAGGCATGTTCATTTGGTTTCATTTGGCTGGGCCTACTGGCAAGGTCTTGCGCCATGATATCTACAGCTTTATATATATAAATTTATACTTATATATATATATATATGTAATCGCATTTGTTTTAGCCATATCGATGTGGCATATTATGTATCTTGGCCAGCTTGCAACTTTTACTGCGCTGGAATGCGACTACTGTGCGCGGTGGGCAAGTGTAAGTACACTTGTTGCCCGCTTCGATTTTTTTGTGAAAGACACAAACAGGCAAAAGGCAAAAGACAAACGCCAGCAGCAGCAGCAGCAGCAAACACAACAACAACAACAACAACCACAACAACAACAGCAGCAGCAATATTAGCTTGCCAGGCGACCGCAGGCATTTCAAAATAGTAAAATTAACACATAGACAAACAACACTCACACACACACACACACACACAGCACACTTAGAGCGGGCACGAGTCGGCTTTGACTGTGTGTGTTATATGCAATCAAGATTCTTGGCTTTAATTTAAGTTGAACGCACCCGGCAAACGGCAAACGGCAACGGCAAACGGCAACGACTTGAACGCTAGCAAAGCCGCTGAGTAACTGAAGACTTGAAATGCGCGCACACCGAAAGATGTTTAGACGGCGGCCCCAAGTCGCAAAAGCTCAAGCTCAGCTTGAATTGCGACAAAAAAAAAACCAGATAAACAGGTAACAACGCGAACGGTCAGCGACGTCGGCGTCAAAAGCGAGAGTAAGCTTCAGCGATCGCTGCTCGCTGCTCGCTGCTCAGCATTTGTTTTGCTGCGCTGCGCTGCGCTGCGCTGCGCTGCGTTGGGTGGAGTGCAGCGTAAAAGCTTTTGCGCTCGCGCCGCCTTCCAATGCAACTGATAAAAGCTCCGTTGTCATGCTTGATTGTTGTTGCTGCTGCGCTTGCTGCGGCGCGTGCTGCTTGCTGCGCTGCTTTTGCTATTTGTGTTGTGTGTGTCTTTTTTTTTTCATGTGCGCTGATAAAAACAAGTTTGTTGCTTGCATTGAAGTCTTTCGTTTCGTTTCGTTTCATTTTATGCTGTCGATTCCAAAACGTGCAACGACAACAAACATATCTTTGATTTCCACATACACGCAAATGATTATATGCCCAAAAACAAGTAAATGACTCACATTTGTTGTTGTTGTTGTTGTTGCTGCTTTTGCGAAACAGACAAAAATAACAGCAGCAGCAACAACAACAACAGCTGCAAGAATTTATGCGGCAGCCACAAATTACAACAAAATATGTTGCTATAACTCTTGCTGCTTGTTGTTGTTGTTGTTGTTGTTGTTGTTGTCCAACTTGACACAACCCTCGGCATTGCGCAAGGTTGCATTAAGATTTGGTCGCTCGTTTTGTTGTTGTTGCCGTTAACTTTGTCATTTTTGCAACGTATTTACCCTAGAATTGTTATCTTGAATAAATATCTTAAATCTTAACATAAATATTAAAAAATGTGCATGCAAATTTGCTGTGGAAATAACACGCAGTCAGCTGCAGCCATGGAAAAACAGAAAAAAAATAACTTTAAAAAAACTTGTTGCATTTGCATTGCAGTTGGGCTGGAAATTGTACAGGAAATAGAATACACACATTGCTGTACTTGGAGCTAAAAGTGTTTGCCCAAGTGCAGCACGGGTATTCCGTATTAATTCACAAGCTTAGTGAGAATAACTATAATAAATACTACGCAGAATTTGCTTGGCATATTTACTCTTTTTTTTCTGAACATTATTCCCAACAGTTGTCGTATTTCCAGAAACTATGGAAAAATGTCTGCCCATGAGTAAGGTTTTCAAAAATTATCCAACTTTGGCACAGTTGCAGCAAGGTTAATTGGCAGACGCCAACCTTGAACTACATCGATGACACCCAGACGCACACACGCACACACACACACACGCACACACATGTTGTTAATACGCCTATTCAAGCCCAACTCTAAGCGCATTACAACTTTGTATGCGAATAAGGCTAACCGGGTTGCATGCGACCTTTCTGTTTATGTAAACTGGCATACAAAATGGCGCGCATTTGTTTTAACGATCTCATAAATATTAAAGGCAATAAACAAAAACTAGCTACACGTTTGGCCAAAGACCAAATACCCTTAAAAGATATAAACATAGAAAGCTATTCGAATGACTTTGCTTAAGATATCTTATCTAAAGAAATGTAAGATACATTTTGTAGAACCCAAAAGATGCTGATAGAATTTACATGAAATATAGACCAAAATTAAATGTTCGCTCTTCGTTTTAGCTGTTATGAAGAAAAATCTCAAGAGCTTTCAAATAAAATGTAAAATCTTTGCATATTCAGGCAAGTGTGCCTATTATTCTGACCACGAGTGTGCAGGCAATTCGCCTGGCAACAGTTTATGCCTGAAATCTTCGCCCATTTTCCATAAACAAAGCATTTTAAATCGACAGACGGACGGACGGATATGTGGGATATACAACTTGTGCACTGTCAAGATCAAAGTTGACAGTTCACATTTAGTGACAATAATTTGTGTTAACCCTTTTTGGCGAAGTGTATATAATAAGCTAATGGGCCATGGGTTTGCGTGCTATCAATTGTTCAGGTAAGGCGGCAGCAGGCAGGTACAATTAGATTCAGAATTTTCAACTTACGAAGCAGAATATGGCAGCAAACTCGCATTATGAATCATAAATAGGCATACCCAACGTCTCCACCTATAGACACCAGAATTTTGAATTTCAATATGTAGGTAAAAAAATCGATTGTTTTTGAAATAAACTTTTTGAAACTATTTTTTGGCACTTGATCCCTGGCTATCTGGCAACTAAACATATACATGCATATATATATATATATATAAATGTGTATATATATATGTATGTGTGTCTGTATACACAAGTATTGGCATTTGAAAATAATTGAAAAGTGCCTTTCCGATGGCTTAGCACCAAGTACTCCAGCCTGATAAGAGCTGGCAGAGTGTTTTTTCTGTTTTTGTTGCTTTTTGTTAATATAGGAAATGAATGCAGGCGGCGATAAAGCGAAGCGCTCCCAATGTGTCTGTGCGGCGCGACGGCAATTGACGTAGGTCCCACAGCTGTGATAACAGCTTGAAAAGGCCCCCTACACGAATCAACACTAAAATATTTCGCACTAAAGCAAGCTTGAGTGCGATTGAACGACAGAGACTCGGGCTGTCAGAGTTGAAAGACTTAAATACAGCCCACTAAATTGCTTAAAGCATGAAAATTGTATTTTATTTGCCCAAAATGTCAGTTCAACACAAGACGAAAATGTGTATACTTCCTTCGCCAAGCTTGTTATATACATAGACATATATATTCACAAGCTGTGTTCGCATCGAGAGATCTGTGAAGGCCTCGGAGCTTATTATTGAAAAGCCATTAAGCGCACGAAAACATTTCTTTATTGAAATATTCATCAGTTCAGTAGTCAACTTAATCATTTCAGTGCTGTGAACAAAGTTCAAAAAGGCTATCATTTGTTTGAATGATTTTGCTATATGTGGCAAATAAGTGAACACGCCTTGCATGCATATCTGACTATCGATTAACCTACACTCAGCTGTAACAACATATTTCTTAGGCTTCCGTAAATATCTCAAATTAGTTTCTTACTTATCAAGTGAAACAGCTTTGTCACAAAACCTTTAAGAATGAGGGAGCAAAAGAAAGAGCTTTTACGACAAGGAAGCGCATGCAAATGTGAGAGTCAAATGCCCTATATTCCGTTGTAGTATCATAGTTCTTTATCTTTCTTTTTATTTACTAAATTGAACAGCTTTTTCGCCAGAACGTTTAAGAATGAGAAAATATAAGAGAGAGAGAGAGAGAGAGAGAGCTTTTAGCATGTGTGTGAGTGGAATACAAAACAGCTTTTTCACAAAAAAGTTTAAGAATGAAAGAGTAAAAGAGAAAGCTTTTGAGCCAAGCATATGTGACAGCCGAATACCCTATATTCATCTGTAGCATTATTCTCCCAAATCTTACTTCCTTTTTACCAAGCAAGACAGCTTTTTTCATAATGATAGCGAAAAGAAGAGAGCTTTTACGTAAGCGCATCGTAGAGGGTATATGCAAATTCCGGCACTTACATTGATTGACAAAATAAATAGCACGCTTTCAAGCTTCGCTGACTACGCAGGAGGTAAGAGCAAGGTTGTGGGGTGAAAAAAACATGTGTACACACAACGGCATTTAAAATGCGCGATTAATATAAACTCTTGAATAAACTGATAAATGCAGAATATACTTGAATAAGGTTCAATAACTCGACTCGTGCATTTATCAGCTATTCCACAGCTCTATAATAATACTTACAATAAGTATATGCGAATTAATATGTGCATAGGCCCAGGCAAAGCAAATATGTGGCCAGATTCAGATAATATGCACATCTAAATATATACCTTTATCTGTGTGTGTCTCCCGCATAAGGAAACTGGAAGACAAAGAGTGCGTAAACAGGGCAGCAGCTCGGTTATTTATCAAGAGTACTGCACCTTGAGTACACAAAGAGAAATTGTGCTACAACAATTAAAAACTGTTAATTGATAGAGAAAAACTGCGAGACTTTATCGTAAATAGCATTTACTCTGGGGGAAGGGGGCGGATGGCAAGCAACAGCTAAGACGCAATTTCACTTTTAACGAGACTTATCTTTTTTATAGCGCTAATTAGATTACGCGAATGTCTGTTCTAAAATTAACACTCAGCGTAGAAGTTGCATTATACTAGAACAAAATAATTGTAAACCTAAAAACTGATAAGAAACAGACCTGCGCAATAATAATCCTTCAAAGATCAACTCTCTCTTTAGCTTTCCATCAGCTGTTTGTGAGTAGGCGTAGAAGAGAGCGAAAGAGCGAAAGAGACCTTCCAGCTGGCAGCTTTCCAAAGCTCGCGCTCTACGTAATTTCTTGCAGTGCACATATTCGACTTCGACTTCGACCGACGTTATGAAAATGGAGCACACGCTCAAAGATAATAACGAAACGAGCGCCGAGCGCCGATCGTCGATCGTCGAGCGCCAAAGAGTGTCATGTCTAAGCAGCATTGCGCTGGGGATGCTATGGTTATTCCTATACACACACACACACATAGATACTCGCTCGGTGTGTGGACTCTTTGTTTTGCGGCGATTAAATTTGCACTTTGTGTCCGTTGTTCATATTTGTATGTAAGCATGTGCATATACATATGTACGTATGTATTTATACATATGTATGTAGCTGCTGCGTCAGCAAGCAGAGATCCCGATACGTAAACAAGAACATCGACAGCGAAGACAGTCAACAATCAGTAATCATAGCTGCGTACTGCGAACTGCGAGCTGCGCTGCCAGCTGCTCTGTCTGTGTCTGTTGTGAACGGCTTCTTCGTTCGCTTATCAACAGCCGCAGTTGAATGCAGCGCCGCAGCGCAGCCAGCGAGCAGAGGACAGACAGCAGGCAGCAGGCATCAGGCATTGAATGCGTTCCGCGCGTCGTAGTAATAACTTGTTTCGTGGGCAGAACGCAACGCGCTGCGTTCCCAGTGTGTAACGGTATACCCCGAATATAGAATAACAAGCAAAGCAACATCAGCAGTAGCGGCAGCAATAATTAAAATAACAATAACAGAACGAAATCTAATCGTGCGA